AGCAGGTGTTCCTATTAAGGTGCCTCTGGCAGAATTAGAATTGCCAATTATTTTGGGCTTTCTTTTTTTTTTTTAAGATTTTAATGAAAGTTTATCAAGAACCTGGATTTCCATTCATTCATGGTTGCATATTTTCTTCCCTGTTCCCCCTCCCACTTCACTTTTTTTTTGTAAAGTTTTTCATTGTTATACGGTCCGCTACGGTCCACTTTCCCCAACCACTTTACAATGTGTCTCTTTTTCTGGACTCTTGTCATGCCAATAATACCTAAAAACATATATTTTTTTATACAGTTCTCTCCTTTTTTGGTTTCAATGCTGTGTACATTATTTATCCTTTCTTTTCTTAATTTTCCCCAACCCCCATATCAGTCCTGTTCTATAATAGTGGCATTGTGCAGTATTTGTCTTTTTGTGACTGAGATATTTCACTCAGCATAATGTCCTCCATGGTAACCCACCCATTTTGTATAATATTTCATGAGTTCCTTGTTTTTCAATGCTACATAATATTCCATTGTGTCAATACACCACAGCTTCTCTATCCATTCATTTGTTGATGGGCACTTAAGTTGTTTCCAACTCTTTGCTACTGTGAACAAAGCAGCAATAAACACAGGTGTGCATGTATCTGCTTGGGTGGCAGTTCTGGTTTTTTTAGGGTATATTCCCAGTAGTGGAATTGCTGAGTGCCAACTATTTTGTTAATGACAGAACATGCTAACCATTTGTACCTCCTAGGAGCCCTGGTGATGGAGTGTGATACCTGTTGGGCTGCTAACTGAAAGGTTGGTGGTTCAAATCCAGCAGGCGCTCCATAGAAGACAGATGAAAATCCTGTAGAGACTCAGAGCCTTGGTAACCTGCTGGAGCATCTCATGAGCGGACATTGACTCAGTGGCAATTGTTGTTGTGTGCTGTTGAGTTCTAATTCACTCCCAGCTGAACCTCCATCTGACTGTCAGAGACTAAATTACATGGGAGGAGAGTGCCCATCTTTCTCCTACAGGGCAGCTGGAGGATTTGAACCACAAGCCTTTGGGTTGGCAGTGCTGTTCCTTACCACTGGGCCACCAGAGTTTTACTATCAGACTCTAGGATATTAGAAGCCACTCAGTCTTTTCAACCACACTCCTGTGAGGATGTAGCCTGAGACCAGGCCCACCAACTCCAAGTGTTTCCCACTCAGGCTGCTCTGGGCTTCTGGAGCTGCTTCCCACAGCTGGTCACCCCGGCTTGTCCCACAGTGACGGACACATATCGGTCATGGTGGGCAGTGGAGATTCTGGCTGATTTCCTGGAAGGAAGTTCCTTTTTTTTGGGGCTTCACAGAATAGTGCGTGTGCCAAAGAAGCAGGGGCCTCTCCAGCCACATCCAGCTGGATGGACAGGCCTGGCCTTGCCTGGTGTAAACGTCCCCTACCCTGCCTTATTAGCTGGAACACATTGCAGTTACCACGGCCTGGGGTGCAGCTGGCACTTAAAATTAAAAATGAGCCCCAAGACCTATCTCCTAGGGAAATTTTTGTGGGGTGGAATCGTAGAAGGTTTTATGTCAGAAAAAAAAGCTTTTTTTCAGGTTTATTTTAAAATCTGTGAGCTTGAGGGTGGCAAGCAAGTGACTGGTTCACGGTAGTGGCCTTGTCTGGAGCAGGTGGGGCCTTTCTGGTATTTGAGAATACCGTAATGTTTCAATTTAGCTCTCTCTAGGTTTTTCCCCCTCTAAATGTTCTTTTTCTTAAAGAAAACAAAACAAAAAACCACCCCAATATTTTAAAATTGTAATTTGAGTGAAAGTTTACATATCAAATAGAATTTTCCATTCAACAATGTATAGATATGTTTGTGGCGTTGATTACAATCTCCAAATAGCAAGCAGCACTCTTCTCAGTCCCACCCTGAGTTTCCTGTCTCCACTTAGCCTTCTTTCTTACCCCTTTCTGCCTTCTGAGCTTTATCCCTGGGAAGTTGCTGTCTGTCTGTCTTTGTCTCTCTCTGTCTTTCTCTCTCTTTCTTTCTGTTTCTCTCTCTGTGTCTCTTTCACTGTCTCTCTCTGTTTCGTCTTTCTCTCTGTCTCTCTATCTCTCTGTGTGTGTGTGTGAATAGTTGCTGATTGGATCTCCACGTCTTCCCTGTCTTCAGTCATTCTGTGCTGATTGATCATCCCTCCAGTACCACCTTTCACTTCACCCCACTCACTATGTGTCTGTCACACAGTTACATGATCTACAATTCTCTCCCCTTCCTGTCTCAGTCCACCTCTGGTCACTACCGATAACCATTTCTGTCTGTGTCTAAACTTTTCCTATACTTTCTACAGTTGTAGACTCAATCTTTATTCATTTATGCAAATCCTAATTTTAAAAGTTCTTACTTTTCAAAATAGTAAAAATAGATTGCCCAAAAAAAGAGTAAAAATAAAGGGGAAAGGTGCTCAAAAGCACAGTCCTTCTGTCCCTACCAGTCACTGCCAACATCTGGATCTTACTTCTTTCTTCTTTTTTGACAACTTAGTGTCTTTCTTTCCTATTGTTGAGCTTACTTGCTTTGTCATTGTTCCCCCTGCTTCTAAAAATGGCAGCAATCGTGTAGTGTGGGGTTTATTTTCCTTCCTTACAATCATCACACCAACAACTACTTCAATGAAAGTGAGTAAATCAGCTACTGACTCCGTGTTCATGTCCTAATACCCCCTCGTTAGATAGCCAATGGCTGATTAGGGAATTCCTATCAAACCTACACTCTCAGGAAAGAAGCATGTCCCTTTTGTTGAAGGATCCCTCTGTTTGACTTGGAAGCTTTGCTATTCTGGTGAATATTTTGTTACAAAACAAAATACATATGAATGGCAGAATGAAAAACCAGTATGCTTTGCTAACTTGTACTCAAATCACAGTAAAAAAGTAAAAACTAAAAAACAATAACTTTTTAATTGCAGGAATAATGCCACGGGATTTTCAGCCAGCTTTAATATTTTTGCACACTTGCTTTCTCTGTGTGTGTACATACGTTGTTGTTTTGTGCCACTGAATCAGAGATGACCCACCGCTCACCCTCTAGCGAGTTTTCAGAGATGGTAAATTGCACAGGAAGAGTTTCCTCATCCTTGTCCCATAGAGCATCTGGTGGATTCAAACTGCGTGCCTTTGGAATTACAGTGCAGCTTCTTACTACCAGGCCACCAGAGATCCCTGGTATGCATATATAGACGTGTTATTCTTGTTGGTTTGTTAGTTGTGTGAGTTCAGATTCAATGCATACATACTCATGCGTAACATACCAAGGCATTGCCCTGTCCTGCTGTGTTTGAGTCCATTGTTGTGGGCGTCCATCTGCTCTTGGAAGATTTCTCTCATTTTCATTTCTCTACTTTACCAATCAGGGTGCCCTTTACCGGCTACTGCTCTTTCTTTACCGAAGAAATCGAGAGGAAAACATAGACACAGATACAGTCTTTATTGTTAGCTTTTCATTTTGCTAGCTGGCCTTGAAAAACTCAAAGCTAGAAACTAGATACCAAGGTTCCTGTCTCACCTGTGACACGTGTTAGCTTTGCCTTTGAGTCCCTTTGCCTCTCTGATCTGCGGAATCTCTGGAATTGGAAGTGTTCATTCTTGCCCTATAATATACTCATCTGACTAGACCAAATGGGACACAAGGGTAACTTCAAAACTCATTGCCGTTGACTTGGAGCCGACAGATAGCTGATCCTCTACTGGGTCTCTGAACATGAGAGGAGATTGTTCATTTTTCTCCTGTAAAGCCGCTGGTGGGTTAGAACACCTAGAAAGACGTTGTCTTTGGGATTGCAGTACAGCTCACTATAGACTAACCAGAGCTCCTAAAAAGCTCTGGAGAAAAGTAAGACATGTTGCTGTTGTTACGTGCCATCAAGTCAACACAATACAATGGGTCTGAACCTTAGCCCTATCCCGTGCCATCCTCTCGATCTACAACACACTTGAGCCAATTGTTACAGTCACCACTACCTTGTGGGTCTTCTTCTCTTACACTGACCCTCTTCTTTTCCAAGCAAGATGTCCTTCTCCAAGGACAGGCCCCTGCTAACAATATGCCCAAAGTATGTAAGATGGAATTTAACACTCGTCGCCTCCAAGGAGCATCCTCTTGCACTTTCTCCAGTATAGACTTGTCTATTCTCTTGACAGTTCTATGGGATATTCAATACTCTTCTCCAACACCACAATTCAGAGGCATCAACATGATCAGGGTTTAAATTGTGACTCAGAATTGTAAACAAGTGGCAATTTGGTTTGAGATTCCCACATTCCCAGCATCCTCTGTGGCCCTCCCTATGTCGGGCAGTCAATACTTCATCCTGGCTGCCTTAAGCCCTGGGTACCAATGTAAGCATATGAGTTTAATGATGCCTGCCCACTTTACTTTGGTTCAAGCTGGGAGAGATGAACCAGGACCATGTAGGAGGTCCAAGAAGTTTAATGCCCCCCCTATGGTCAATAGGGAGTACTACCTTGAAACAGAAGACTGCCTTCTCCAAACGGAAGCTCAGGACCTTGCATTCAGTCCATCTATATTTGTGTTTAGGAGAGAGTTAACATGATAGGTCAAGGACTCTCGGTACATTAATAATGATTTGGATTGGCTTTGTCCATACCTGGCTTTCCAGATGGCTTGGGTACCAGTTGTCAGGGTCAGCTTGGGCTCTGACTTGATGGAGTATTTATAGAAGACAAATGCGGTGCTGATGGTTGGCCAGCAACATCTTTCCAAAACTTGTCACATAACCATTGGGTTGGACAAGGCAAGCATCATCCCTGTTTTCAAACTGAGGTGACTGGAGTCAGAGTTGCACAATTGTTAGTGGTGGAAGGAGACTTGGAACCCAGCTTTCCACACTCCAGTAACCCAGCTGTTCCTTCCGATGTCCAACTCATGGTCACAGCGGCTCGTTCTCTAGTCCCAGGACATATACTGGGCAGCCCTGCCCTTCCCTCCCACGACGTGCGTCTGTCTCCCAGGTGCTGCTGGACGAGGAGCGAGAAGCCATGGTGAAGTCCCGCCGGCTGGAGCGCAGCATCAGTGGCTTCAGTTACTCTTCTTACCACACCCTGGAGGAGGTATGTCTGCCGGCCAAGTGCTGGATTTCTTAGGGTCTTCAGACTTGGGCAGAGACTAGTGAAGGACTCAGAGGTTCTACAGGAGACTGTGACTGATATTTGGAGTAGATATTAAGTGCGTATTTGTTAGTTTGTTATTGTTGGTAGGCACCATCGAGGCAACTATAACTCTTAACAATACTATGAGCAACAGATCTGAATCCTGCCTTATTCTGTATCACCTTCATGGTCTCTGTTGTGCTCAAGTTCATTGTGGTAGTGACTGGTCAGTCCATCTCACTGAAGGTCTTCTTGTCTTTTGCTGACCTTCTCCCTTTCCTAGCACCATGTCTCTCTCCAAGGATTGTTTTCTCCTGGATATATATCCAGAGAAGCAGAAATGAAGTTTCATCATCCTTACCTCTAAGGAGCATTCAGGTTGTACTTCCTTCAAGATAGATTTGTTTATACTCTTGGCAGTCCATGGGATAGTCAATACTTTTCTCTAAAACCATAATTCAAAGACAATAATTCTGTTAAAAGTCAGTCTCAAAGAGTTTCAGAGCCCAGGATTTCAGGCAGAGACACCGCCATTCAAGCTATCATCATAGGAAGGTGGGGAAGCAAGGCTGGATTCAGAGGAGAGAGTAAGGGGTCTATGGCAGAAGCCCGAGGCGGGGGCCTCTCACTGGCCAGCATGGGGAGACAGGAAGCTGCTTTCTTGTCCACCCCTCTGGCTAGGAACCCAGGGTCCTGTCCTCTCCACAATCAGCCCTGTGTTAAGTGACCCCAGCTGTGGATTCTAGAGGGTGGAAGGGGCAGGAAGCCAGGCATCCTGGAGAGCCATGTTTGCAGAAGAAAACAACGTTGACTTCATATGGAGAAAATCCATGATCTCAGTTACAGACAGCTGGGGCAGGCAGCACGGATTGTGACTTAGTTACAGAGGCGTCTATGCAAGGCGGGCCCAGGGATGTGCACAGAAACTGTTTCATGTGATAAATGACATGGCACAATTGATCCTGTGGACTCTGTCATTATCACCATCACTTCACAAGTTCTGTGTTCGAGCATCCATTTTCTTTCATATATTTGCTAATTGAAAGAGCAAGGGAATAAATTAAGATGACGATCACAGTTTATTGATGCAAAAGAGAAATAAAATTTAGACCCTGCCCTCAAGGGGCCTCAAATATAAAAGGTACAATGAGACCAAAAGTGGCACACCAGGTCTTTGAGCTGTGATAAATGGGTTGAATGATCCCAGGGAATGGAAGCAAGAGTGAAGAGGTCTAAGTGGAAGGAACAATGCAGGTAGACCTGGGGATTGGAGTAGGTGCAGGATATGCTGTTTCCCCAGGCAAAAGCTTAGTCCTGTACAGGATGTAAAACATAGACTGCAAGTGTGTCTCCTTTCATAGTTCTTAGGCCTGGAAGGCTTCCTTAGTGTTAGTTTTCTTGATCTGGGCTCTTTTGTACCTCCAGGAGGGTGGTGGGAAAGTAATGGGCAGCAAGGGAGGAAGAGAATATTCTGAAAAGTCCTGAGGTTCACCCTTTCCCTGCTTAACCTACAGTGTGCTAACCTTTGTTCCTTTTAGATATACAGCTGGATTGATAGCTTTGTAACAGAACATTCAAATATTGTTTCAAAGATCTACATTGGCCAAAGCTTTGAAAACCGCTCCATTCCTATCCTGAAGGTAAAAACATGGTGTGAACCAATAGACCTTCCTTTGTAAGACTGAGCTAAGAGGCTGGGAGGGCTGTGGGAGGATGGAGGATTGTGTCCCTCTGCCCTAAGGTGACCTAAGATGGTTTTGGGCTGTGGTGTGCAGGGCTCCACCCTCCATTGAAGGTGCGGATAGGTGCCCTGGCATGTGCTTGGCCAGGAAGTAGGTGGGAGGGTTGCTAGGGAGTGGGAGCTGCAGAGTGGCAGTCATCACCCTGGACTTGGGTGTGAGTGTGGGTTAGTCAGCCTTCTTCCAGTTGTCTTGGTTGCCTCATCTGTTAAATGGGAAGAGACATACTTGGAGGTCTCATGTCCAAATGATGAAGGCTGTCTGGTTCAGACATCCCCACAGGCCTGAGTCTATGGGGCTGCAGGAAGCAGAGTTTGGGCAAACTTGGCTACTGCAGTGCCCTTGGCCATGAGAAGGTAGAATAAGCCGACGTGGGCCCTGTGTGCCTACGCCTGAAACATTCTGAACATGGGTACAAAAGGCACTCAGGAGTGTGACCAGCCTGGCATTTGGCAGCATTTTTCTAGGAAAGAACTGCCTTGCTACCCTCAGGAATGCCCTGGCGGACACTCCCTAATGTCACATGATCTCACCTGGCTTGATTGAATCCCCTGTCCCTGCATCCATTTCCCCTAAAGGCTGTGCATCCTCTCTTGAAGGGCGGGCATCTGAAAAGTGTGGTCCATGGACCACATGCATCAGCAGCATCACCCAGAGCTAGTCAGCTAGTTAGCACATCAGTGGTGTCACTAGGGGATTATGGGAGTGCAGACTGCAGTGTCCAGTGTGACACCACAGAAGGTGGCACCAGAATGATTGCATACAACATTCCTAGGCAGTGTTTTTGCAGAAATGTATTATTTTTGACAAAAATATCCCTGTAGCTAGTTCTAACAACAGAAACATCTTTTTTCTGTATTTTCAAAATTTTCTACTAGTTTATTTACAAAATTAGAATACATTGTTTTCAAGAACAAATTCTTTCGATTTCCCCTCACCCTGCCCCCATCAAATTGTACAACCCTATGATTAATTTCCCCCTCCTCCTGCACGTCCTCATCCCTCTGCTTCCACCCTCTCCCACCTATCCTGAATCCTTATACTCATTCTACAATAATGGTTTTTATACAATATTTATTCTTGTGGGACTGAGTTAGTTCACTCCGCATAATGCTCTCCAGACCTTCCCAAGTTGGGTAATAATTTACAAAATCATTGCTCTTGAGTGCTGTGTAGTATTCCATTGTGTCAGTGTACCATGATTTCTCAATCCATTCAGTTGTGGTTAGACATTTGGGCTGTTTCCATGTTCTTGCAATGGTGAATAATGCTGCTGTGAACATTGGTAAACAAAGATCTTTTTTTTTTGAAAGCCCATTTTGTTGTTGTTGTTGTTGTTTACAATAGAGTCAGAACCGACTCATAGCTGACCCTCCGATGGGCTTTCAGAGGCAGGGAAGAGATTGCCCACCTTCTCCTGTGGAGCAGCTGGTGGCCTCGAACTGCATGCCTTCAGGACTGCAACTCGGCTTCTTGCCACTCGGCCACCAGAGCTTCTTTACACGTATCAGTAGACGTAAGAAGGCTAAGTCTCTATGCGGATTTACTTTTGAACTTTCTCTGATGTGCTCTGACCGGCGCTGCCATCAGTTCCAGTTACAATGACGCTCCAGCTGCAGGTTCTGCAAGTTCACACTGTTGGCTTTGTTGCTGCTGGTGTCGATATCATTACTGACCCTGCCAAGTGTTCTGATGTTTTACCTACAGCGTGTCGGAACTAGTATTTGTGATCCTTGATTGGTAACATTTTTGAGAATGTAGGAGTCATTAAAGGAAAAGAAGGAGAAAACGAAAAAAGGCTTCTGCTCAGTTACTAATCTTGTAACTAACAAAGTAATTCAATCTAAAAAGATTTTACAGAACAATCGTGTTCTTGGTATTCAGGTAATCTAAGAAATATTATATCTAAGCTATGTATCTATAAATTTTAGATCTAAAATATTATATCTAATTTACAACTATATTTATCACATAGTCTAAGAACTATTACATTTAAGCAATTTACAATTATGTTTGTTGCATATTATTGTATGATTAAGGGAGGTTTGGTAGCTTAGTGGGTAAAGAGTTGTCCTGCCAACCCAAAGGCAGTAGGGTCAAATCCATGAGCTGCTCCTGGGGAGAAAGATGGGCAGTCTCTGCCCTTGTGAGTCACAGCCTCTGAAAACCCACTGGAGGGTCAGCTATGAGTTGATTCCAACTCGAGGACAATGAACAACAACCACAATCTGTGATTGAAAAGGAATGACTCCTGAGGATTCTGTTTGGTCTGATATGGGAGGCAGCCTGGGGTGTTTTGGGGGGATGGCACCATGTGTTAAGACAGTAGTGACACCGCTGCAGAGCCCCAGGCATCCTGCCTGCTGACCCCTTCCTATAGTTTAGTAAGCCCACGTGATTTGGATGCCCAAGCAGTCTGAGAACATTAGCCCGAGGTCAGTGCTTTGAGCTGGATTGCTCTTGAGAGCACCACCATCTCAGCAGGGACTGTTTCAGTGACACGACCTACTGTTTGGTGTCTACTTCTTTCTCCCAGTTTAGCACTGGCGGTTTTCAGCGTCCAGCCATCTGGATTGACAGTGGGATTCACTCCCGGGAGTGGATCACCCATGCCACCAGCATCTGGATTGCCAAGGAGGTCAGCACGGACCTGCAGCCGGGGGGCCCCTGAGATGGGGGCTGGAGCCAGGGCCAGGGGGTAGTTACCCAGCTACTTGAAATTTAGTATTTGATGCCTTGAAACTCAGGGTGCACTGTGTTCATCTCCTTTTACAACAGCCGCCAGGTGCTCTGGCCTCTCATTGCCCACGGCCATGTATCTATCTCCTGGTTTTAGATAGAACATTGGAAATCCTAGTCTTTGATTTTATTTGAAAGATGTCCTTGGTGGCTTGATTATCCCCCTTCCTACAGCCACTAGCTGTCCAGATGGCCTACTGAATCTCTCTCTGCATCCACCCTTCCATTCCTAGATTGTCAGTGTATACGGCAAAGATGACGTCCTGACAGACACACTGAAGGACATGGACATCTTCATCGAAGTTGTCACCAACCCTGATGGGTTTGCGTACACCCACAGCATGGTGAGAGCTCTGAGGGCAGTGGTCTTGGGGGTGGTGTGTGCTTCTGGGGAGGGAGGAAAGGTCATTGAGGCACGTTCCTGAGTTCAGGCCACTCCCCAGATTCCAACTGGACCCGAAAAGGTCTAGTCAACAGTCTTGGTCCCAGTCCCCATGGGAGCCCTCCTCCCGTCCCAGCATGTTCTGCCCACTGGCCCCTCTGCAGGCAGGGATGTCAGGGAGGGCTGACATCCTTACTGGGCGTGCTCAGTTAATGAAGTCTTTCCACTTGGGTTTCCCCAGAACCGCTTGTGGCGGAAGAACAAGTCTGTCAGACCTGGAATCTCCTGCATCGGAGTGGATCTCAACAGGAATTGGAAGACAGGGTTCGGAGGTATGGCAATCCTCCAGCCCTGGGGACAAGGCTGGTGAGGAAAGATTGTTGGTCCTTGTTGGGTTCCCCGCCCCCCACAGTCAAGTGATATTGATTTATAACTTGGGAGGCCCCGGGGCAGTGAGCTAAGAGGAGTGAGTAATGGCAGGCACAGGTCAGTATGGGATCTGGAGTGGCTGTGGCGTGGGCGAGAGATTGCACATGTGGGTTCAATATGTGTATAAGCTGCGTCATCACGTGAGACCTATAAAGGCATCTCCAGCTCCTGGGATGGGACTAACTTCATAATCATATCATGTGTTAGGGAGAGGCTTACAGGGGTGCAGGGCAGCCTTGCTGACTGATCAAACCCAGAGTGGACCTCCAAATGTCTTGAGTTCTTCCTTTTAGAGAATACATTTCTTGCTTTTTCTTTAACTGTATATTTATTAAAATTAATTTAAATATTTTGTTATTATTATTTATGAAGTAAAATAGAATTTTAAAATATAATTTGTTGTTGTTGTTGTTGTTTACAATAGAGTCA